TGAATCCTGGTTAGTGAAATATGCAGGTGTTAACTTGACAGATTTGTTTTTTTTTATTTCACGCTTTCCCCAACTAAGGCGGCTAACAACAAACATGACACAATGCAATTAAAACAGAGCAAATACATTAAAATAGGAATATGAAAATTAAAAAAACATTAAATCATGTGTATCATGGAACATAAAAATTTTAAAATATCTTTAAAACTACATAGAACCTCAAAATCCCATTCACATAATTCCCAGCAGCCCGTGTCTCATCATTCAATAAATGCCCAATGGCAGTGTTAAGTTTTCATCTGCCTGTGAAAGGCAAGTAGGGATGAGGACATCCTGGTCTCTAGGCAGGGAGTTCTAGGGTTTGGGAATAGCTACAGGAAATACCCTCTCCCTTGTTACCATCAAATGAGCTTGCAAAGGTGGTGGGATAGAGGAGGTTGTCTCTCTGTCCCACTACCCCACAATTACCATATTCACTTGAGTCTAATGCGCACCTCAATTTTTAAAACCCTGAAACTCCAAAAAGTATTTACCATATTCTGTGAATCTAATGTGCACTCTAATTTTGGGAAGATAATTTAGTCAAAAGGTGAGCATTAGAATTGAGTAAATACGGTATGTCAATTAAATTCCCAAGTGCAGCTGTAGGCAAGATCTGATGAGTGGGGAGGAGGAGTTGCAATGATTGATCATGAGTCCATTTCTCTGTTGAGGTATTCTGTCTGATAATCTCCACACACACACACACACACACACACTTAGCAATAGGGAAAGGCTGGATGGGGATGCTGTTGATTTACTGTCCATCCCACTGCACAACTATAATAATAATTTTATTTGTACCTCGCTACCATCTCCCCAAGGGACTCGGTGTGGCTCACATGAGGCCAAGCCCACAGTACATCAATAAACAAAAGCAATAACAAAACAATCAAAGCAATACAATTAATATAAATCGCATAACAAAAAAAAAACAATAAATCAACAGTAACACACAAACATTTAAAACCAATTAAAATAATTAAAATAATGCTGKACATGGACAAGGTAGGATAAAACTGGGGTAGAATTTTCAAGGAGAGATGAAGGAATGYAATCAATCCCAAATCAATGGTAAAGTGCATTTTGAGGACATATTGCTGAGGGTTTTCCTTATTCTGGGAAGGCACACTGGTACAACCACATTTTCAGGCTCCCCCTAAAGACTGCCAGAATTGGGGCATGTCTGATGTCCTTGGGAAGTGAGTTCCAGAGTCGGGGGGCCACCACCAAGAAGGCCTTCTCCCTCGTCCCCACCAATCACGCCTGCGAAGGAGGTGGGAGCACTAGCAGGGCCTCTCCAGATGATCAAAGAGATCGTGTAGGTTTGTACACAGAAATGTGGTCACGCAGGTAGGCGGGTCCCAAACCGTTCAGGGCTTTGTAGGTCAAAACCTGTATCTTGATTTGGGCCCGGAAAATGAACAGCAGCCAGTGGAGCTCCTTAAACAGGAGGGTTGACCRCTCTCTGTAAGAAGCATCAGTTAGTAACCTGGCTGCCGCCCATTGTACCAATTGAAATTTCCGGGCCATTTTCAAGGAAAGGATGTGGGAAGTGAATAATACCCCCAAAGCCTATTGTGCTGGTGAACTCTAATATATATATTGAGAAGCCCTTACCAGGGTCAACGCATAGCTTTTGTGTCAATCACGGGTCTGCCTCAATATCTGGTCTGCTTCCAGAAACAAATTAATTCAACAGGATTCTAAAATGTTCTGGGGATTTTCCAGCTGCTAGAGTTGGTGATTCTGTTGATGCCCTAGTTGATCTGTGGAATAAGGAGATGACTCAAACCAGTGACACGGTTGTTCCCAAGTGTCCTGTTTGTGGATGGAGAGCATAGACACTTTGGTTTTCCAATGAGGTAGGAGCAATGAATTGCTTGAATAGACAACTAAAACAATGGAGAAGAAAGACTGAGGCTGAATCCAATTGTGAATGGATTAAAGCCCATTTTAGAGCCTACTTGACAGAGTGAGAGCAACAAAGAAATAATTCTTTACTGTCTCTATTACATCAGCTCAATTTTATCATGGTGCAGTTTTTCTGGATAGGCTGTAATATCCTAGACTTCATAATGCTGAGGAGGAACCCTCAGAAACATGCTGCAACTAAATGTTTGGGGAGAAAATTGTTTTGATTCATTCTGATTTGAAAATAAAAGTCTGTTGAGATAAATGAGGCACTTGTCCAGTTTTGATGGATGAGTTTCAGATTGTTGAACATGATGATGGTAACATGTTCATTGGAGAGGTGAGGCCAAGTAGTTATCCATTATAGCCATTGTAAACATTGCTTATTACAGCTGCCAGAGGAGAACTGGCCAATTGGGTAGCACAATTGTAAATGTCTCAAAACAGTGGTTGATAACTTGTGGGTCCCCAGATGTTTTGGCCTTCAACTTCCAGAAATCCTAACAGCTGGTAAACTGGCTGAGATTTCTGGGAGTTGTAGGCCAAAACACCTGGGGACCTGCGGGTTGAGAACCACTGTGCTAAAAGAAACAATTGTAAGATCTTTATTGAAAAAAAACCCCTCTTCATTGGACCACACTTCCCTAGGTTACTATTGGTTCAGTCTCTAATTTTCCCTTTCAAGGCAGGTTCTCTAGAGCAAGTGATGGCAACACAACTGCAGGCTTTCCTGGATGAAATGTATTACCAGTCTGGCTGCATTGTTTTGTAGTGTTTCTCGTCATTTAATGAACTTTCCCCAAACTGGTGAAGGGTGACTGACGTTCCACCTTTTGTCCATTGGTCTGTCCCCTATGTCCCCAGTGCTGCTTCTTATATTTTTCAAAATCTATATGAAGCTGCTGTGAGAGCTCAACTGACACCTGTCCCTGTCCCATACCCAGACCTGAACTCAAATTGGAATGGAGCCAGGTAATTAATTTCAGCTAGGAAATCCTGGAGTCAATCCTGGAGTAACAGTTCCCAGCTCTATTTCTCCTTTAGAATGTATTCAAAGAAGGCTGTAGTGGTAATGAATTGTTGCCTGGATGCAGAAAATGACTGGAATGTGGATGAGATTTAGGCTTAATCCAAACAAGATGGAAAAAAACAAATTTGGGATTGGGATCACAGGTTGTTTTTTTAATGGGATTACTCTTAGTCTGAAAAATCAGATTTGTAGCTTGGGTCTTCTCTTGGATCCTGTGCTGATTCCAGGCTGGCCACGAAAGCAGCCAGGCTTTAGGTCATATATCATCTGTGTATTTTGTTGAGGAAGACAAATATATAATGAGCTCTATGGGGTTGTCCTTGAAAAGTATTCAGAAGCTGCAGCTAGTGCAAAATGCAGCAGCCAGTCTTTTGTTGTTGTTTTTGTTGTTGTTGTTGTTGTTGTTGCTGTTGTTGATTTTAGAGACCATATGACACACTTACTGCAAGAGTTCGATATACACTTGGCCTTTGAGTTCAATTCAAGGTGCTGTTGCTATAAAGTCCTAAATGACTTGGGAACAAGATATCTGAAAGGCTGACTCTTCTCTTATGAATCTCCCAGAAATTTTTGACCTTTAGAGGAAATCCTGTTGTGTGTCCCAACACCATGTGAAGTTTGGGTTGTGAGTACATGTAAGAGTTTTTTTCCACAATAGCTCATCAACTGTAGAATTCCCTATAAATGAAGTTGCCCTATCTCATTTAAGGTTCTACAAGGTTGAAATTGCTAAACAGATTATGGAGTTAAATTTAAACTGCTTTAATGAATTTTTAAGTATTTTAAAATATTTTTAATCTTTGTATTGTTTTGAGAGACTTTCAATTGTTCATCTCCTAAAAGGCCATGTGGACTGGGAGGCAATTCATAAATAAAATAAAAATAACAATGCAACAATAAAGTCAGGGAAGTTTTCAGTGTTGTCATATGTTTGACCTATAAGATCCCATAACAAAGCAAGCATTTTTATTCCATAATAAATACTTTCAAGGCTAAAATACAGTACAATAGAATTGCCAATAAAATACTGGCTTATGGAGATGGCAGAGTAGAGAGTATACAGTTGAAGTCCTATTCATTCAGTAATGAAGTGGTAAGACTAACAAACAACTATTTTCTTTGATTCTTTCCAGGTGTTTAAGTGGGAGGCAGATATTATCACAAGTGGCCCCAAATGTAAAAAAAAATGATGCTTTTAGTATATGCAATATAATGGCCTTACTGTGATTAAAAAGGGAAAACAAACCAACAATAATCTTGTGACAACCAGTAAGCTATATTTTCCAAGGCAACAGAATACCAAAAACCTGCACACCTTCACAAAATACTAGAAAGTAACTACAGCAGCCACAAGTGCAGAAGAAAGTAATGGCAACAGTTACAATCCTTAATTCAGTATGAGCAAAACAATCATGAAAATTCTCATGATAGCCTAATGAACTTCATTCAGATTCTAACAACACGATGGAAGAAGAAAAATGTGCAGAGTATAAAAATATGACTTAAAAGAAGTTTTAAAAACTAGACAGGGTGATAACATTGATTTTAGCAAGTTTGTTTCCAGTAAGCAAAGTGAAACTTCATCGTATCTAGTTGGTCACATTAATCCTGAAGTTTGGTTTCTGTATTTGCTCCATTCACTCCCACAGTTTTCTTAGTAAATAAGACATTACAAAGAGAATAAATGCAACAGCCAAAAACTCTTATTTTATTTATACATTCAGTTGTGCCCTTCGGTCCCACCATTCATCTACTTCCAGCTCACTTCTTTAAATTAGTTTTAGCAAACAGAGCAACAGCAAGCTAAAGAAGGGAAATGGCATCTTATTCAGCAACTCATTTGAAAAGGGTGGATCATCATCTTCATTTGCATAATAATATCAACACAAAATGACATTGTTGCAACCAAACTTCAAGAAAATCCATACAAAAACATAGAGCCATGCCAACGCTCCAACCTTTTAATCTTAAATGTTAATGTCATCATTAAATAACATCAGTGCTGGATGCCACTCACCCAGCTGTGTTTCCTGAACTGTCAGTTTACTCTCCAAAGGGTACAAAAGCTTCGGTGGTTTTTCTGTCAATGGTGCTGCAGGGAGGGGAAAAAAACAAGTATGATCATTCTGAATGAGAAGATTGCACTTGTTATGTGACAGTCACAATACACAAATTTATATAAAATGCATTGCTTTTTAAACTCTACCAAAAATCTATGTGAATTATTTCTTAAGCTCTTCCATTGTTTTCTTGAGCAAGGATTTTAATTTTTACAGACTCTCCATTGATATTACTGTATGTATGTTTTAATGCCCACTACACAAAAGCAGGATTTGCAAGTTTCAGTATTTCAGCAAACTACAAATGCCAGAATTCTATAGGAAGTAAACATGACAATTGAGTGGTATAAAACTGCTATCTTTGTGCATGGACTTAGCTTCTACTTAAACGAGTTCTCATAAATAACATATCCCATTACATTTAGTGACTTAGATTGAATGGTGAGCAAACAATGGACCCAATTTCTTCCATCAGAACTGGCACATCGAGCTTCCTTAAAAACTGTGAGACTGCTAAAATACCAGGGGAGCACAGTGGAAGTACCATGAATGGCTGTATTGGAAGAGAAAGAATGCAGAAAGTACTTATTTCCCTGCTGTGACATACGAAATTACACATTTGGATCTTAGCCCATTGGATCTACATTCAACTAACTAAGGACCTCATTAGATGTAGACTCATCTGAGCCTTCTCATATCTCTACATTGCTATAACAGAGTCCCACAGGGTCTATCACATAACACAGGGCAACGTCTGGTGGGACTCTGTGGGGCTCCGTTTCAGCAGTGTGGAGAAATGGAGCCTAGAGTGCCTTTAGAAGAGTTGGGTATTACACAACTCCTAATTGGAGAATACCAAGAGGAAGCAGGGAAAGAACGGGAAACTACATGGGATGGAAGACCATTCCAGAAGACAGGGAAATATTATAGGGAATGAAGGGGAATGGTTCCGCTGATCCCCCTCCCCATTTGTTGGATGGATTGGATACATGGAGAAGCATAAAAGGAAGCTTAAAGCTCTATATGAGCAATAAAAGGGAACAGGGACAGAAGTAAACCAGCTTGTAACAATTAGAATGAATAAAGAGAAAATTATCAAGGTTCAGTAGTGATATAGAAAATGACCCCACGTGGAATTACATCCCAAAAATATGTACTTATGTGGCAAAGCTTTTTACAAACCGACTAAAACTAAGAATGAATGTATTTGGGGGTGGGTGGGGTGTGGTATGACAAAACTATTATAGCCAAAAGAGAAAAGTGAGTAGACTATAGCCAAACAATTTTTGTGTTGATTTTTTGGTTAAAATATTTATTTATTTTTGATGTGGTGATCTATGGATGAAAAACTTCCAGGAGTTCTAGTCATCAACGTTTTTGCTTAGGTCATGCAAAATCGAACTAACAACTTTATTGAGGTAATCCATCTGTATTGTGGCCTTACTCTTTCCCCACTGCCTCATACTTTACAAAGCATTATCATTTTCTCCAGTGATCTTTGTAATCTTATGACATGTTCAAAGTATGAGCGCCTAGGTTTTTTTTTTCTCATTTTGAAGTTACCATAAAGATAGAATGTGGCTAAGTGAATGGAAATTTCATTGGGAGAGACAAAATTCTCATTGAGGTTCAAAACTCTAATCCCACCCTCCAACCACAAACCCTCTGACACCAGAAGTTTATCCCTGGAAATGTATTTGGCTGTTTTCCTTTCTCTGTGGCTAGAGCTGGACATTGGATAGAGGGACTGTCATTAACCATTGAGTCCAAGCAAAAAGGATGTATACCTGGATGTTGTTGTTTTAGTGTGTGCCAGAGTAGTGCCTTTTAGAAGACTAAGGGCTATGTAACTATCATCAACAGTTGGACCAAAGTACAATGAAGTTATATTTTTATTATGTTGAATTTTACATAATGGTATTTATACAATACTTGTCACTTTCAGATGTCCAATGAAGACATAATGTAAGGAATACACAATAACCTGACCTCTTAAATTCAATGTGGTTAAATATTCCAATGATAAGAGCTGGTTTTCTTTGGTACTGTAGGAACCAAACCAAAGAAAACAAGCTCTTCTCATTGGAATATTTAACCACATTGAATTTAAGGGGTTGAGTATATGAGAAAGAATATATTGATGGAAAGAGCTGTTATACAGTAGAATGTATTGTCCTGGAAGGTAGCAATTTTAAAATTGCCAGTCGGAATGTCCATTTATCAGGGTTACTTTCGCTATCTGATTTCTGAATTAGTAGTGGGCTGGATTCTTGGAATTCTATTTTACAGTTCTGCAATCCCAATCCTTCTTTTGTTTGATTACCTTCATTGTGAATTGACATATTAACAAAAAGAAATACAAAAATGTATATTTTTGAATACATGAATCTCCATTCAGGAGCTTGGAGTAATTTCTGCTGTTTAAAAACATTGAAAACCAGCTAGTTAAAGCTGACCTTAACCCCTTCTTAGTCAGCCATGTGAAACAAAATGATCTTTATAAAATGATAAAGTCTATGAAACATAAGTTTCAAAAGCAGATGAAACATAAGTTTAAAATAATGGGAGAGATTGTCTTGTCAGAAAACAATATCTTCTTGAAGATTTGGGCATTCAGATAGATATTGGTGTTTTGAGAAAATTACAGTAGTATGCATTTGTGCTTCCCCCATTCCATTTTAAACATTACTTTTACTTCAACCTATTACTTCTTCATAACTTCTTTTAAATACCAAAGCTATCAGCACGCAGACATCTTCCAGGAAGTGTCCAGTATGCCATTTAAATGTAGATTTCTCTTTTATTGTCAAGCTCAGCTCAATTATTTCTTATCAGATAGTATTTCTTTAGCCACTGTTCTTCTAAATCTCTTAACTCTCTTCAAAGCAGACAAAATTCTGTCATGGTCTCTAAAAGGTATAGCAACTGCCGGAATAATCCTAGTACAAAGGACAGGCAGGAAAGGGAACAATTCCATTTACTTTACAAACTGATACATTACTTACCGGAGGCCTTGGACCTCAGGTGCCAGCTTTCTGTGTGAGAAAGAATAGCCTTTGTAAACTGCACAGGGATTAAGGATGTTAAGTCTTTTGGTATGTGTGCATGGTGAAACTTATCTGTAGTATCAGATTGCCTTACAGCAGCCTTGTCATTGTAAGACATACTGCCTTATGAAATAGTAGCTTGATCCTATTGTAATGGGAACATAGAGTAAAGGGCAGCTCCCATAGTTAAATTTCTATATGTGTAACTTGAGACTGTGTTTTACTGCTTTTTCCTAGAAAAATCAGCAAGTCATTTTCATGTATATATTGAAAAGACTACCATATTCAATATTCAATGCATGGAATATAAAAGGAAGTCTGGAAACCAAAAGAGAAGAGGAAATGGTAGCAGGAGGGATTAGAAGGAAGCCTAAATGGAGGAGCAACTGCACTACTGAAATAATGCAGTTTGACCCCACTTCCATGAAGACATTGCTGTTTTGAGGATTTTGTTGTACCCGATTTACTTGAGTCTAATTCTCACCTTTTTTTGGCTGAAATACATTTGATGACAGATTATACTTGAATAAATACAATATTTTGTTTCATGGCCAACATGGGTATCCTGAATATGTTTCCTGGATTTAGTGATAGCAAACTTACAACAAGGGAGCCTTTAACAAGAAAGAGTTAATGGAGTGGCACTTAACTATTTAAGGTTTCCACCTCCAACAAAGATAAAACTCTTTCATTTGATCTAAAAATGACTAACTTTACCTACACAATACTTAAAGGTTTTTCCAAATGCAACTTTATAGAGATTTATTGAGAAATTCAGTGCTCTCTTCCCAGGAAAGGGCAGTCATCCCCATACAGGACACAGTTAACCTGCATTCCAGTAGAAATTCCTTTGGTGCTGCTATTGGACTTGAAGTGTTACTGTCTATCATTTACTGCCCTTTGTTTCTGGTCACTATATGACCACAAAGGACCTCTGACTCCATGGATATCCCTCTAGACCAATGTAACTAAAAACAGAAGTATTATCTGACATTAAATTAAGGCTTGTGACTCTAATGTCAAAAATATATTCTCTTATGTGGTTTTAAACATTTCTGCATGATGAAGATACCAGTGAAACATTGCATGCTTCTATGATATTTTTTATGCTTTTTAATTGGCCAAATAAAGGTATCACTGTTGTGTGCATTTTAAATTTTGTTGTATTTCAATATTGTTAACAGTTCTTGGTGAAAATTGTACTTAGAAATGATTCCAATCACTTTTTGTTTCTTCAAATGGCAGAAGAAATGCTCAATTGATATTGTCATTGTTAGTTTTTAAAAAAATAAGAAATCCACATATGTGTGATCTCTCTATCCCATTTCTTCCTTCATGGGCCCTTCTACACAGGTCCTACACCCATGATAGGTAGCAGGTTTACCTGAGAAGTCCAAACAACACCTCAATTAAACCCGGATTAATAAAACATCTCAATAGATCTGAACGTTACTGAAAGGTCCAGACCTATTGAGGTACTGAGTCTGTGGGGAATGACTCCCAAGACCGCATTCCACAATCCTTCGAGGTCAATACCCATTGCCATCTTGGTTCTCCAGGCTCCTGAGGTGGGGGGATAACATCTATCCACCCCTCCTGAGGAAAAGCCTGGGGTTATGAGAGGGGGGTAGGGACTGAAACCTGAGAATAAGTGGATTTTTTTAACCTGCTTCATCTCAAGTTTTAGTTAAGGTAGAAGGGCCCTAACTCACTGCAGATCCTTTCTTTTCTGAAATATTTGTTCTCTTTTAGTGACATCAGCAGTCATTTAGGAACTGGGGCTATCAGGCTGCAAATGAAAGATATAATGGAAACCAGCAAACAGTTAAAAAAGCAAGGCAAGTGCTGTTACGCAAATTTCTTCAGCAATAAAACTGGGAAAAGAGGATTCACAACAAAATGTACAAAGCACATAGGCAAAAATGTTTCCAAATGACTATTCACAAAGTTTTAAAGCAATTTGGCCCCTAATGACCATGGACGGG